CGCCCCGCTACAGCCGCCTATGGCCATACGCCTAACATCCACTCCTGCAAGCCGGCCAGGAGGCGCGTAAGTCAAATTGAAATCGGCGGACGTGCAGTCTTTTCTTCTCTGCTCACTAGTTTTGTGGCGTTTCTTTTTTCCTGAGCAATTTTTCGTGTTTCAGTTCCTTGTTGTTTTTCGAGTTTTTCTTTATACTGTGGAGTTTTTCTTTTCTTTTAAATGTCTGATTTTTAGCAGATAAAACAGTTTCAGCAGCTCGTTGCTAGTCCTAGTCGGTTCTCGGAACAGCCTTAGCATCTGCCACCCAGCATCCGTAAAGGTTTTCAGCTTTGCCAAACATGACTCTAAACCTGTAGTATCCATAAGGTATGAGTGGAACTGTTGGGAAACTCCAGTCCACTGGGGTGTTATTGACCTCGTAAACTCCCTGTAAATAGAAGCCATTCCAGTTTTACATTAATAATTTTTTTACGTCTGTAGCTACAACAGTTAGTTTTCAATCTTAAACCAGAAAAATAAATAAGTTACAAGTATGGAGATTGAGGAGACTTGCAGTCTAAGTACTCACTGGTGGCCTTATGCACGCGCCTTCATCTTCTCCCTTTAAAATCTGCTTATAAACACCAGGAGTATATTCTCTAGCATATCGACATGCATTGTTTTTAAAACTTAAGACAAAGGCGTTTTCTTTCCATTGATTGTTTGATCGAATATCCACAATAACTTTTGACTGTTATATGACGGATTTTGTATGTAATCGATTGACAACTACTTTTAAGTGTTTGGATGCTAAACACTTCGATTTGAAGTGGATTTGAAATGTCTTACCCAACAGTGGTCATCAATAGTTCCATTTGCACCTTTCACATTGCCTGTCACGCGTTGTAACTCTTTTGGTTTGTATGGGTTGAAGTGAGTAGCGCGCAAATTCCATATCCAGGGAAGCGGGCGGTTGTTTGGCTGGCAGTTGTAGAATCGTTCGCCATAGGCAATGTACGGGCCCTGTTCAAACCATAGATGTAGAGCAAGTTAAACTTGTCAAAAGACACAGATTTCTCAAAATGACACCAAGTTATGTCAATGCCAAGTCAGACTTTACATTGGCATGTCCTTTCGGCACCTAGAAAAGTGATAAGCTATAGCGACAATTGCATGGTAAATGCAGTATGCACCATAAAATATGGTTGGTTCAACATTGTCGTGGTTGCGAGAACCAAAAGAATGGCTTCTATCACGTTGTTATATTGTTTGTCTCAACCACATTTTATGGTGCTCCCTTAGCAAAACATAAGATGGTTGCCTTTGCTAATCATTTTTCTGTTTGGACGAATTCGTGAAGCTCTTTGGTGTTGGCAGTGAAGGCACATTGATGACAAAATATTCCTAATTTTGAAGGGGCCTTGAAAAAGGTATTTTTTAACGTACAATTAAAGAGTTGAAACCTTTGCTGAAGATTCCTTCCCAAAATATCAGTGTAAGGAGCACGAGCTGGAGTAGCTGATTGGATGCAGTGCTACCGGTATGCATGTCTCTGCTTCAATCCCGAACCGATCTTGCTTAGGTGGGTCCAGTGCGAGAGATGCAGGAGACTCAATCTCACTGCTCAGACTTCTGTCTGCTGCCGTAGCTCAGCCCTCGGCCACGTCCTCTAGGAGACTGGGTGCTGCCGTCATGTGCTGCCAGCATCCTGACGTGCTGGCGTGCCAACTACATCACCACAAAACGATTTAAACTTTTAGATCGGAAGCAGGATATCAAACAAAATACCGGCGTTTAAAAAGGTAAAAAACACTGGACGTCCGGCCGTTAACGAAAAAGTCCAGCTCAACAAGTTGCCATATGAAGGAACAAAATGTATCATCACATTTTAAACTAGTACTTTCTTTGTCCAAATTAAGGAGACGTAAACATTTCAGAATGCTGTAGAAAATTAATGAACAAAATTAAGACACTACTAGGATGGCAACAACGATATTCCTCAACTGTTGACCTCTTTGGGCTGCCATAGACACTTGTCACAGCCTTCTTTTCTAGTGACGAATCTCGTCGCGTCCTCCATCCGTGTAGCGGTGTGATGCCATTCGTGTCAACGTGCCCAGTACCTTCACCGCCGGCGCGCCGCGTGGGCGTGCGGGTGGAAGGGGGCATGATCCTGTCCCCATCAGCCTAGCGTCGCGTCCTGTTTGTATGCAAATGCAACACTCTGACCTCAAGTGCAGTGATGCGTCGTCTGTACAAACAGTGCGTGGTGTGCGGCGTGCGCTTGTCGACACGCTGCACCAGAGCGGCGAATCATTATCATTACTCGTGTCTCCGCGCCATCCTTTTCTTTTTGCAATACAAGTAAATCGCGTATTGTATTGTCGATGACGATCGTGTCATAACCGCGCTGCGGAGTGGGAGGGGAGGGGGTGGTGGTGGTCGTTGTAGACAGTTTTCCTCTGCACAACACGCATTTTTAATCCAAAATGACACGCAAAAATAAAATGTTTG